ATAGATAGAGGGGTGTATGGGATAGATGATGGGTGTATGGGATAGATAGATAGATAGATAGATAGATAGATAGAGGGGGTGGATGGGGATAGATGGATAGATAGATAGATAGATAGATAGATAGATTAGATAAAGACAGACCACGTTAAAGCTGATGTTGTGCTTTGCATCCTTCTTACAAGGTGAATGGAAGGAGCCATTTACTCTCTGTAATTCAGTGGGAGGATGAACAAAGCCAGGTCTGTAACTCAGATTTTCGATTCCAAACGTTGAGAAATGAAGGGAACTAGTGAAATCCGCTGGCGTGAGATCCTCCGGGAGTTGAACATGGAGACGGTTTGGAATCTCTTTAAGTGAAATGGCAAATGGCAAAAAGTATCTTGAATTTGCTTCCCAAGCAAGGGGAAGAACCGTGTAAGGCGGAGCTCCAGGCCTGAGCAGGTGACTATCAGCTCAGACAGGACATTGGGAGCCCGGCAGTGTCCAAGGGATCTCAGCGCCAATTTCCTTTTTTAACACGATTCAGAACGGGCATTTCCACCCAAAGCAGCTTCGCTTGTCGCAGCGCAGCCGTCCATTGCGGGGAAAAAGCTCAAAGGGTGAAATCCTGACCCCACTGAAGTCAATGGGAGATTTACAACTGACTCCAATGGGGCCAGGATTTGGAACCGCCGAGTCTTCCAGTCGCTACGTAAGACACCGTAACGTTGCCTGAATAAAGGACGTGTTGAGCCCAGACTGAGTGTTCTGTGCCGGGTGAATGTGCTTTGTCGATGGACTGTTTGAGGTTGGCCTTAGCGATGTGGATGGTGACAGACTGCAGGGTAGGATGTGCTTGGGTTGACGGCAATGTCACCTACCCAGTGTACTATCTTCTGCCACGGAGAGGCAGCCACCAGTAGCCTTGTTGGCTTGGCAGGTTCCTGGATTGAAACTGCAGTTCTTCGTTTGGCCAAAGCACGTGTTACATGTCAGGGTGTGACCTGGAGAAAGAAGAACAAGTGTTTCCTTCTTACTGGGGTGTGACAGTGTCACTCTGACACGTCCCTTAGCCCCAGTCTTCCCCCTCTGCTCCAAACAAGCCGAGGGGTTAACGGACCCGATTTCCTCCTGGACACTAAGCAATTGCACAGTTTCAGCTCCTGAGCCAACGGTATCCGGGGGTCAGACTGGGGACGGGTGAAGGGGATGATGCTTTTCCCAATGTCTGCCCACAAAATAAACTCCGCCCACCCCAAATGTGGCTCCGGTTGTGCAGGTATTCACAGTACTGGAGAGTCGCTCGTTTTGCAGCCTGTATTGGCTGAGTCCATTGCATGGCCTGGGGCTCCTGGCAGCCCCCCATGGCCCTCCCAAACTCCTTGTGTACCCCTCCCACCCCCTTCTATTTCAGGAATACCGTGCAACCCCCTTCACCCCCCACCTCATGCCCCCCATTTCCCCATCCCCCATACCAAGACCCCCATTCTCCCTCCATGTCAGGGGCTCTATGTGCCCCCAATTCACCCTCCCCCTACAGCATCATCCTTCTTTCTGTCTGGGAGATCAGCTGCTCAGGGTGTAACATGTTGCGCTCCATGGGGACGCTGGGCAGTGCTGGGCTGGGCGGGGTTGATGGGCAGGAAGATGTCAATGGTCCCATCAACCGGTTCTTTGACGTACACACAGTTACAGAGGTGGTTGGAAGTGTGGCTGGGCTGGCCAGAAGCCAAGGGGTTCAGTGTGTCCCCGATTTCCCTCTTCCTGTTTTCTGATTTCCCCCAAAGTCAATGTGGTTCTGCCCAGTGCTGTCTAGAACATCCCCTGACATTTTGGAGTTAATGGAACGCAGCGTTCAAAAGTTATTTGGTTGCATAGAAACTGATGTGAGTGCAGCCCGGCTCTCTGGGCTGCCAGCCGGCCAGGGCTAGCCTTACAATGAGGCAAACTGAGGCAGACGCATCACTAGGACACAGAGAGTAGAAAATTGTGTCTGCTGCTGGTACATATGTATTCTCTCTGCTCATGAGAAGGCAGCAAATCACCAGAGAGCATTCCATAGGTGGAAAGAGCTTGAGATGAGACTAAGGTTAAAGGCCACCATAGATGATCAGCATCAAGAGAAGATTGGATCAGAGTCTCTTTACTGTCAAAATGTTCTGAAAAGGCTCAGTGCCCTTGTGAGAATGCTTGCTACCCAAAACCTAGCACTGCGTGGCACTTCAGATCAGCTGTATGTGCCAAACAATGGAAACTTCCTTAAAATTGTGGAGCTGATGGCTGAGTTTGATGCTGTACTCCAGGAGCATCTAAGGAGAGTCATCACCCAAGAAATGTACACACACCACTACCTTGGAAAAACAATTCAAAATGAGATCAGACAGTTACTGGCAACAAAAGTCAAACAGAAAATGGTGGCAGATCTGAAGTCAGCAAGATACTATTCTGGACTGCACACCTGACATCAGCCATAAGGAACAAATGACTTTAATGGTGCATTTCGTAACAACAACAGAACCTAGTAAAAATGTCCTTGCAATGGTGACTGTCAGAGAGCATTTTCTAGAATTTATTGACATTGATGATACTACAGGAGCTAGTATGACTTAAAAAGCTGGAAGATACCGGAATTGCGATAGCTAACATGAGAGGTCAGGCCTCCGATAATGGTGCCAACATGAGAGGAAAGAACAGAGGAGTGCAGACACGGAGCCGAGAGTTAAACCCTGTAGGTTTTTTTGTCCCATGCAGGTCTCATTCATTGAACTTGGTGGTCAGTGATGCAGCATCAGCTTCTAGTGAGGCTGTCGAATCTTTTAATGTAATTCAAAGCATCTATGTATTTTTCTTGGCATCAACTCATCCATGGCAAATTTTGAAGCAACATCTGGGAACATCCTCTCTGACACTGAAACCACTGAGTGCCACACGATGGGAAAGTCGGGTGGAGGCGATAAAGCCGATCAAACACCAAATTGGGAAGATAGATGATGACATAGTTGTCATTATGGAGGATAATGTTATGACAGGAACTGTTCGTGGGAGAACAGTGGCAGAGGGAAATGGAATCACCACAAACATACATAACTTCAAACTTCTGTGTGGCTTAGTGTTGTGTCATGACATACTGTTTGAAATAAATGTTGTAGCAAGAGACTCCAAGATGTTGACCTTGATATATCTGGAGCAATGGAACAACTGGACAAAGCAAAGTCATACCTACAGTCTTACCGGTTAGATGAGGGATTTCAAAATGTTCTGAAGAATGCACAGAAATTGACAGAGGAACGTCACACTGAAGCTATTTCCCACCAATTCAAGGGTCACCGAAGAAGACATTTTGATTATGAGGCATGGGATAAACCCATAAGAGACCCCAAACAACCATTCAAAGTTGAATTCTTTAACCAGGTGTTGGATTGTGCAATACAGTCATTTTAAGAACGTTTCATGCAGGGCCCCAGAGACAGTGTTGACACATGATGACATGTGCAATATTGATGCGAGTGATTTAGGTGATGAACTGAAAGCCCTTTCAAGATACATTTCAGCAGGATCAACTCCAAAGGCTGTTCTGGAATATAAGTGCACAAATAAGATGACCACACTCTTTCCAAATGCTTTTGTTGCTCTGCACATACTTCTAACACTTCCTGTAACAGTTGCCAGTGGAGAACGCAGCTTCTCCAAGCTGAAGTTAATAAAAACACATCTGCGCTCCACAATGACACAGGAGAGGCTGGTCGGCCTTGCAACCATCTCAATAGAGCACGAGCTGGCCCAGACTGTGGACCTTCAGCAGGGAGCAGTTCAAATCTTTGCAACCAAGAAGACACGGAAAGCACCACTTTGATTATTCAAACAGATAAAAATGCCAGTGTTTACTATGCAGACAAGAAAAGTTACATTTGCTGTTCAGGCGTTTGAAAGTTAAGTGTTACTTAAAATTTTTGAACAAGGCATTTTAAGTTGTTAGTTCTCCTTTATTGGCGTAGGTAGAAGAGCCGTACCATGAAAGGAGTAGAACAGGAAGAAGGCAGAATTGAGACCTTTCAAGGTTTTGGCCCAAGCGACGGGACATGGAGGCGTCATTTGAGCTCCCCACCTCAGGTACAAAAATGTTGTGGGCCGGCCCTGCAGCCGGCCAGCAGAGGGGTGTGACAGAAGGGTTTGGGGTGCAGAAGCCAGCTGTCTTGGCCCCTAGGCTTGTGGGGATTGCTCCCCGTTGGGAAGGCTCTCTGATGACTGGTCCTCCAGGTTTAGATCCCGGTTACATGGCCCTGAGCTTAAGGTAAAGCCAACTTTGCACCCATCCCTCTGGATCAGCCCAGCCGTTCGCAGTCTGTGGGGGATGGGAAGGATGGAAATTGCCAGGCAAAAAACAAAAGGACGTTCATTGTCCCGTGTTCCCCAAATTACCATTGATACAAGTGGCATTAACAGTACATGGACATGCACAGACCTCTTGGGGACCTGTATGTGAACAATCTCTGCCCTTCAAAGCCCTGCACACATGCTGCACCTTGGATTGGTCTAAATTCAACTCCCAGCCATTGCATCTCATTCTGCCTCTGTTTGCTCGGTTGGAGAGCCCTGATTCCAGGTTACACTCAGGCCCTTAGCAGTGTCATTTACTCCTATATTCAGTCCCCTTTGTGCTGCCAAAGCAATGCCGCGGGGCCTTGTGGAAATAAGAATTCAGGGCAGTGTCCGGTAATGGTGCCCCTCAGCCTGGTCTACACTAACTAGGGTGATATAGATACAGTGCTCAGGGGGGTTGAAAAGTCCACACCCTGAGCACCGCAGCTCGGCCGATCTAACCCCTGGAGTAGATGCAGGTCGATGGGTGAATGCTTCCCTCGGCCTGGCTACCGGCTCAGGGAGGGGAGTTCCCACAGGGACAGAAAAACCCCGTCCATTGGGACTGACGGCGTCTTCACTACAGGTCTCTGCTGGCCCAGCTACAGCGCTGCGGGTAAGCTACTACAGCAGCCGTAGTGTAGACAGGGCCCTGTACCCCACACAGAGCTAATCCCCCATCCCTGCTCATCCTGGATGTTCCCCTGACTGGGGATCCGTCCAGGGGGGGTTACATGGCCACAGCAGTGGATGACTCACCTGGGGTAGTTTCTGCACTCGTTGTAGCTAGGAGAGCAGGGAGAAGGCAGAGGATGAAGGAAACCATCCTGGTGCTCGGAGGCTCACGGGGCTGGGCTCGGAGCTGAACGGAGCTTCTCACGGCTGACACGGCGAGCTCTGCCAGGGGGGAGGAGGAGACAGTAAAGACCAAAATGAGGATGAAAAGGGAATTCTAGCAGAGATTTGGTGGGGAAAGCACCAGGGATCAGAGCTGCACAAATAACCGATTTTTTGGTTCAATGGCAGTTCCAAACGATCAGGAAATAAAAATCGTTTTCGGTTGAACCAAAATTCTCATCCGACTGAAAAGCCGAACAAAAAATGGTTTTGGTTCATTTTCAGGCATTTAAAAACATTCTTAAAATGGTTTAAAGATAAATGTTGCCGTCAATTTTCAAATGACATTGAGTTGAAAAAATCAAAACATTTAATTCTGGAATTGTGAAGAGAAAATATTTCCATTTTTTCAGGATTTTTTTTCTAGGATTTGTTTTTGCTGCTGCAGCAATGTGGTGAAATTGACAGAAATTCGTGAAATGTTTCAGTTGCCGCAAACCTGCATTTTTAGGTGGAGAAAAGTTTTGGTGAAAACATTTCTCTCAGAAACTACAAGGAGTCCGGTGGCACCTTAAAGACTAACAGATTGATTTGGGCAACAGCTTTCGTTTTACCCACGGAATCTGTTAGTCTTTAAGCTGCCACCGGACTCCTTGTTGTTTTCCTGGATACACGGCTACCCCCGATACTTGACACCATGCATTTCTCTCAGCTCTTTCATGCCTAGAAATCACAGAGTGGAACTCCAGGGTAGAGCCCTGCGTGGGACCATATCTCCTGAGATACTTAGACACAAATGTTCACGGTGAGCCTTCCGGCCCCAGTGAGGATGTGAATGGTGAGAAGATGCCTGGTCTTCCAGTTAGTCAGAGGGCAGGTGACCTAGCAGCTACTGCAGCATCCATATCTCCATCTCAAATGGATGTAACCATGCCCATCCCTGAAGAAAAGTGTAGATCAGAGAAGAGTGTGGTGGAGGCACAAGAAACAGCTGCTGCTGAGTTTAGTTCCTTAAGTCTAGATGATCCAGGACATGGGGGCATCATTTGAGCTCCCCGCCTCAGATGCCAAAATGTTGTGGGCGAGCCCTGTTACTGCCCTACGGTGAGGGAGCTTGCCGAAGGCTTTTTGACAGTCCAAATTAATTATGTCAACTGGTTCTTCTCTGTTCCCTAAACCTGGGACGTTCAAAGAAGCCGAAGGGAGTTCGAGGCCCGACTCCCAGTGAGTTTCAGCAGACGCTGGCCCCCGCGCTGCTGGTTTTGCCTTTGAAAATCTCCCTATTTCGCTCACACACATGAGTGAGGCTTCTTTTCCTTTGCACAAACTGAGCCTCTTTATCCCTGATTTATCATCGTCGTGGGGTTTTACAATGGGAGCTTGCACTTGAAATATATCTCCAGCCTTTACAAGCTTTGCAGCAGATCATGAAAGATTACAAACAATAATTTTACACAGCTTAAAAACTCTTACCTTCCGTTCACCTCCAAGTTCTCTGTAAATTGAAGAGATGCACTAACCTGTCTAGCACGGCCCCTTCCTCTCTATGTAGTCCAAAGACAGAATCGGATTCATATATACATAGGGAGTAACAGTGAATGATTTCCTGAAATGTAATATATTGCACGACCCTCACGTCTTTAAATACAATTCAGACTGACCCTTTCTCAGCCTATCAGCTTGTGTTTTATAGAACTTGTTCCATACAATCAGCTGGTTCTGCAACAGAGATAAGAGGTGATATTCAGTTTAGTCACAAGGGTAGATGTGTGACTGTTTGCACATTAGAGGGGTTTAGCCAGTTCATCGGGTGCTGGAAATCACACAATGGCCAATTGACAACAGCCGGGGACCTGGTTCCATTGACAATAATGGAGCAATGGCCGATTGACACCAAATGGGGGGTCCAGTGAAACTATCCCAAGGGAACTAAGGTTGGCCATGGAGTTGGTTCCATTAGGACAGCTCCCCTCCCATTCGCAGAACAGGTTACTAAACTCCTTATCATTAAATTGTGTAAACATTCATGCTGATACATTTTCTTCCTTGCCCCATGTCAAGGGCATTGCAGCAAAATGGGTCTCAAGCGCATGACGTCGCATCCAGTTGTGGGAATTTATTTATAGAGTAACTGAGCAGTGAAGAGCATTTCGGCCTTGGTTGTATTTCAGGCCAGTTTTGCTCCCTGAGGTTGTTGAGGTGGGTAGGGGCTTTCAGATGGAATCCAGGTGTTAGGATCTCCAGGAATCTAAAGAGAGAGGGTGGTTGGAGATCCACTGATGAAAAGTGTGATGGAAAAGCTGGGGATTATTTATATCCATGTATTAAAGACAGTTGGCAGCTTTTCAAGGAGACATTATTAAGGGCACAGGAGCAAACTATCCCACTGCGTAGGAAGGATGGCAAGAGACCACTCTGTCCAAACCAGGAGATCCTCAATGATCTGAAATTCAAAAAAGAGTCCTACAAAATGTGGAAGGTCAGATTATGAAGGATTAATATAAACACACAACACAAGCATGTCGGAACAAAGTTAGAAAGGTCAAGGCACAAAACGAGATTAAACTGGCTAGAGGCAGAAAGGGTAAGAAGAAAACTTTCTAACAAATACATTAGAAGGAAGGTGAAAACCAAGGACAGGGTAGGCGCATTACTCAGTGAAGGGGGGAAAGACAATAATGGACAATGGAAATGGCAGAGGAACTAAATGATTTTATTGTTTCAGTTTTCACCAAAAGTTTAGTAGCAATCAGACGTCTTATGTAGTGAACACTAGTGAAAATAGGATCAGAGGCTAAAATAGAGAAAGAACAGGTTAAAAAAATGCATAGACAAGTTAAATGTCTTCAAGTCAGCAGGGCCTGATGAAATATATCCTAGAATACTCCAGGAGCTGACTGAGGAGATATCTGAGCCATTAGCTATTATCTTTGAAAAGTCATGGAAGACAGGAGAGATTCCAGAAGACTGGAAAAGGGCAAATCTAGTGCCAGTCTATAAAAAGTGAAATAAGGACGACCCAGGGAATTACAGACCAGTCGAATTAACTTCAGTAACCGGAAAGATAACGGAACAAATAATCAAGCAATCAGTTTGCAAACACCTAGAAGATAACAAGGTGCTAAGTAACAACCAGCATGGATTTGTCAATAATAAATCATGTCAAAACAACCCGATAGCTTTCCTTGACAGGGTAACAAGCCTTGTGGAAGGGAGGGATGCGGTAGATGTGGTATAATCTTGACTTTAGTAAAGCTTTAGATACTGTCTCCCATGACCTTCTCATAAACAAACTAGGAAAATACAACCTCGATGGAGCTACTATAAAGTGGTGCAAAACCGGTTGGAAAATTGTTCCCAGAAAGTAGTCCTCAGTGGTTCACAGTCAGGCTGGAAGGGCATAATGAGTGGGGTCCCGCAAGGATCAGTTCTGGGTCCGGTTCTGTTCAATATCTTCATCAGTGATTTAGATCATGGCACAGAGAGTTCACTGATAGAGTTTGTGGATGATACCAAGCTGGGAGGGGTCACAAGTGCTTTGGAGGATGGGATTAAAATCCAAAATGATCTGGATGGACTGGAGAAATGGTCTGAAGGAAATAGGATGTAATTCAATAAGGACAAATGCAAAGTACTGCACTTAGGAAGGAACAATCAGTTGCACACACACAGAATGGGAAATGACGGCCTAGGAAGGAGAACTGCGGAAAGGGATCAGGGGGTCATAGTGGGTCACAAGCTAAGTGTGAGTCAACCGTGTAACGCTGTTGCAAAAAAAGCAAACGTCATTTTGGGCTGTATTCGCCGATGAAGCCACAACTGGAGTGTTGTATCCAGTTCTGGGTGCCACATTTCAGGAAAGATGTGGACAAATTGGAGGAAGTCCAGAGGAAAGCAACAAAAATGATTAAAGGTTTAGAAAACATGACCTATGAGGGAAGATTAAAAAACATGGGTGTGATGTTGCACTCCATATGCTTTAGGAAAGTATGCTTATGAATATGATATAACTGGAATATGCTTTACGCTAAATACCCCTTGTGTGGTGTCATTAGACAATTTGTAATCTACTAAGTGTGTTCATCCTATTTGTTTTCATGTATTATTTCTATATCTGGAGTTGGGAGAATAAGATATAAACTTCTATCACTGATGGAAACATATTAAGTGGAGACCATTAAGGATGCACCAGTTGTAAATGGCCCGAGCTACTTAAAAGCCTTCCTGTGTACGTGTGGGCCAGCCCATGGGGAATGGAGACTAGGGGTCTTACAGTGAGATGTGACCATGTCACCTGATACTGAAATCCATCTTAAACCTGGTACTTTTCCATTTAGAAGGAGGGGTGGGGACCAGAGAGACAAAAGATTCCCGCCTTGTGCCAAAGCTCTAAAAGGGAGTGGAGCAGGACAAAGGGGGCTTCCAGTCATGAGAAAACCCCTTCTTACTACCAGAGATGTCTGCTGGAACAAACAAGGACTGTACCCGGGGAAAGGATTAGGTCCAGACGAGGGAGGAGTCTAGTCTGTGAAAGAAGCTTATTAGAACATCCCTGAGGGTGAGATATTACCTGTAATCAGTTTCTTAATGTATTAGGCTTAGACTTGCATGTTTTTGCTTTATTTTCCTTGGTGACTTACTTTGTTCTGTCTGTTATTACTTGAAACCACTTAAATCCTACTTTTTATACTTAATAAAATCACTTTTGTTTATTAATAAACCCAGAGTAAGAGATTAATACCTGGGAGAGCAAACAGCTGTGCGTATCTCTCTATCAGTGTTATAGAGGGCAGACAATTCATGAATTTACCCTGTATATGCTTTGCCACACCCTGTATAAGCTTTATACTGAGTAAAAGGGATTTATTTGGGGCTTGGATCCCATTGGGAGCTGGGTGTTTGGGTGCTGGACACAGGTAACCTGCAGAGCTGTTTTCAGTTAAGTCTGCAGCTCTGGGGATGTGATTCAGACCCTGGGTATGTGTTGCAGCAGGCTAGTGTGTCTGGCTCAACAAGGCAGGGTTCTGAAGTCCCAAGCTGGCAGGGAAAACAGGTAATTTCAGCACGTCAGGTGACAGTC